ACTGGCCTAGGGGGAATTTTTAGTGGGGTTTTAAGAATAATTTTAAATTGACACAGGCCACATCAAATATTTCATTTTAATTAGGTTTTAAAGTGGGTATTTTTATCTCTGTATTTGTTTTACCAGGCTGTCAGCCGCCCTGAGTCCGTAAGGAGAAGGGCGGGATAAAAATCCAAACAAATAAATAAAATAAATAAATAAATAAAATGCAACCATAACTACAATTCTGCTGCATTCTGCACCACTTCTGTTTTTAGTGGTCTTCAAGCCTGTGTAGAGTACAGCAATAGCACTTAGACTTATATACTGCTTTACAGCCCCCTCTAAGCAGTTTACAGAGTCAGCATGTTGCCCCAACAATCTGGGTCCTCATTTTATTGGAAGGGTGGAAGGGTGAGTCAACCTTTCAACCTTGAGACGGTGAGAATCTGGCAACTGGCAGTCAGCAGAAGTAGCCTGCAGTACTGCATTCTAACCACTGTGCCACCACAGCTCATTTTGTAATAATCCAGGAAAATATTTTCAGTTATTTAACTGCAAATCATAAATTGCAATGTAGCAATGCTATCAATTAGGCTTTTCACTTTTAGAAACTTTAGAATACATTTCCCATTTAAATTCAAAAAACTTTTACCAAAAAGAAATATTTTGCATCTTAATTATATGTTATCTATGGTGTTTCTACATAGTTTGATTGATACATTATGTTTGCCTAATTTTTCTACTGTTATTTGGAATCCATGAAATATTGAGCACATATTTGTTTTGGAGATACCATTAAGTAAAATGTTTTAATATACAAGGAATATATATCAGACTTAATTCTTATTCTTTCCTTTCATTCTAGACTGCACAATTTAGATTATTTTATGCAGGAAGCCAAAAGAAAAAAGCATAAAGCGGATGCAATGGTAAGAATGCTTGAATTTCTGGTACATTATTCCAATTTATCTGTACAATAAAACTTTCTTAGGAAAACTTTACTATTAATAATTATTAAATCCTTCTAACATGAACATTTCTCTTACTAGCACAGATTTAAATATAATCAAATATATAAACAATTATCCAAGTTAAATTAACAGATACATTTTAGGTAAATTAAAATTTGAGATAGTCCAATTCTTTTTTAAAAATATTATATGGGTGTAACACTGCATTAGTATAGCAAACCCCATTATCAAATATATAATAGATCATTTATAGATTAAAATACTACAGGCCAGGCCAGGGCTAACATTCCCAGAAAGCAGTTTGATCCAACACTGATTACTTTGAACAAGAGGAGGATAGAACACTATTTGCAAGCCCTCAGTTTGTTCCATAAGCCAGAATTCCCCATCCTTTCCGGCTTTGCGGTCTGGTGGGGGAGAGGGGCGGGGGAAGGGGGAGAGGCGCAGCTCCATTTGAGAGAATGATGGGCATATGCATCCGCTGCTTGCACAAATGGAGTATGCAGTCATGCACTTGTCTGCTGCTCACGCAAGTGGGGATGCGTGCATATGCGCGTGCACTCGCCACTTCAATGGCCAAGTTCTGAACGGCTCAAGGCCCGATAGTGGGCTGTGACCCAGGGGTTGGTGGTTGGGGACCCTGCCATAAGCAATTGTGTATTCCTCCTCCTCCCCTTGAAAGGTTGCAAAAATATCTTGCTTTTGGGAAAGCTTGCAAGAGCAAGGGGAATTTGCAATAATCACCCTCCCCTTTCATTCATGAATACCTCTGCTAAACTCCCTAGCCATTTTTGAATACAACAACATCATTAGGTACCCCCATTGGGTATAGTCTGCAAGCTTCTCCTGATATCAGTGGGCCTTGATTTAATAATGCTAAACATGTATTCAGTACAATGTACATGGGAGAATTTCTTCCAGCTCTAGAGGAAGGAGACAATGGCAAACCACTTTTGGGGAAAAAACATGCGAAGAACATTGCAGGAATTTGTTCACACAGTTGCCAGGATTCAAAACACTGACTCTCTCTCTCTCATATATATATATATACAGTCTCTCTCTCTCTCTCTCTCTCTCTCTCTCTCTCTCTCTCTCTCTCTCTCTCTCTCT